TGCTTGGGCCAGGCAGGGGGGGGTTGGCCTCTGCCAGGAGGCCCCAGAGCCCCCACTACAGCAAGTGAGTGCAGGGGTTGTTTTTGTTTGTTTGTTTGTTTTTTGAAGTGCCAGGAGGCTAAGCCTAGGCAGGGCAGCCATGGGGGCTTCTCCCATGGCTCCCCCTGCCCAGGGAGAGGCAGACACAGCTGGAGGAGCCACGGGAGAACCTGCAGTCACCCGGCTGTGCCTGCCTCTCCCTGGCTGATCTGAATCACCGAATCAGCGTCAAATCTTCCGAAGCTGATTCGGCCGAATCAATTGAGAACAGTGATCTGAATCAAATCACTATCCTCCGAATCAGCCGAATCTGAATCGAATACTTCCCTATTTGCACAGGCCTAATAAATAACCAAAAGGCATTACAATAATTTTTTCTCCAAACTATGTATAAGCAAAGTACTTAACTAATAAGGGTAAAAAGGTAACAATTTAATCATTTACATGAATTTAGAATTCAATACCTACCCTTCTTCAACATTCAGAGAGCCACTCCAGCCAACAGCATATTGCATTTCCTCCTTTCCCTTGTCACTGTATTTCCATTTCGCTGGCATTAAGGGGAGGAAAAAAAAAAAGAGACTGGCCAATAACGAATAAGATTTTAAAATATTACATTTTAAGCAACTTCTATATCCAATCTTTTGCAACATAATAATAGGTCTATGCTTAATCTTCCTCACTGTAACACATACCATCATGTTTAAATTAGGGAACAATTAAAAACTCCCACCATAAGAAAACTGTTCCAGTCATATAAGGGAACTGGGTGCTCAATGTTTAATTTTTTTCCTTAATTCTATCAATACTCAAGGCATCTAAACTGCTTAATTAGGACAATCAACATCCAATGATGCAGAGACAGGAGTTCTGTGTCAGGTCATCTGAAGGGTAACTGGTTTATTTTCAATCTAGTGGGAACAACACTAAAATGCCAAACATCTGGCATTTTCCAAAATGCCAAACAGTTGCTCTTATAAGCATCATATATTGCTGACCTACCACTATCTATGGAAAAGGAGTTTCTAACATGGATTCTGGCATACATGATTCTGCATGGAATGACAAATACGGGATCAGAGCTTGAAAGAAAAAGTGTCATTTTCATTTCATTTTCATCAGCATTTTTAAAGTTTCATTCCTCAACAGTAAAATAAAACAATACCATATATTCTACTATATGAGGCTAAATTTTAGGAAAGAAAAAAAGAGAGAGGCACATGCACTTAGGGACCAGGTCAGTTTAGTTAATAAAAAAACCAAACCACAACTTGTCCATGTGAAACATAAAATTAGTATACAGGCAGTCCTCAACTTGCAACATTTCGAGTTACAACATTTTGCACTTAAAAAGTTTATAAATTGACACCGTTTCAACTTTCTGATGTCGCTTTCAACTTTACAACGCTTGATCCGATGCAACGCCACACCAGCGAACAAGTTCACTGCATCGTCCATCTCCCTGGAGAACACTTGTCCAAACTTCCTTGGACACTTTCTTTAAGAAAGCAGACAAGACTCCAGAAAAACCTGCAGCCAAGACTCCTGAGAAGACTCCAGCCAAGAACCCTTCAAAAAGTCCAGCAGTCACGCCAAAGAAGTCGTTCCAAATCAATGATTGCTTTTTACAATATAAATACATTAAAGTAGCTATATTACTCATCTATAATTGACTGAGTTAATCAAAATTCTGGGTTATTTTTGGTGAAAATAGGGTATCAGGCCTCGGTTCAGAAATCAATCTCCCATTTATAACATTATTTCCTATGGGAAAAATCAGTTCCAAGTTACAACGTTTGGACTTGTGACACAATTGGTTCCTGAAAACCGTGTCTTAAGTCCAAGGACTGCCTGTAATCTAAAGGTCAGAATTTTACTTTGCCTGTTCTAGAGACAAGAAGCCAGGTATAGTGCGCACATTAACCAATTCGGTCTGTTAAACTTACTGACTCAGACTCAGCTCCAATGGAAATGAGATACATGGCTAAACCTCAGACTTGCTGGGTTTGCTTATATAATAGACCACATATATTACCTAAAACAGCCCACCCTCAGAAAATCCCTGAAGATAGCTCTTTATGTTAAGAGCTAAGTTAAGAGACCGCACCATGAGTACATATTGTGTATTACATACTTACGCACTAAAAAAACAGCTTTCTGCTCACGAGCTATTACCATCAGATCATTTGTGGGTGACAACGATAATACACAGTCCTGAAGCCAATAACTCGTCTGTGTCTTGCAAGTGGACTCTTCTTCTCCCTATATGTAAAATTTTGATTAATATCTGCAATAAGTTCCAAAATTTCAGTTTGTTATGAAGTATCCATATGTAACTTATTCCATTTCTTAAGACTACTCAGTAGCACCAACCAGTTAAAAAATGGTGGCTTGCACAGTAGTGCAAGTCAAACCTATCAACCTAACATTAATTCTTTTAGCAGACCAGCAGAAGAGCTGATAAAGGAATATCAGCTGACAATCTCGAAAACCTGTCTTTCAAAGGCTATTAAACATTGTTAAGTGAGAGTTAAAGTACTATTATGGATTAGAAACAAACCAAGAAACAAAAAAGGATTTCACAGACATTAGGGCTGGAAGGGACCTCGGAAGATCATCAAGTCCAGCCCCCTGCCCCAGGGGCAGGAAGTCAGCTGTGGTCAAAAGATCCTAACAAGATAAGCATCCAGATGTTTCTTAAGAGAGTCCAGAGTAGGTGCTTGTACCACCTCTGGAGGGAGTCTATTCCAGGCCTTGGGGGCTCGGACAGGAAAGAAGTTTTTCCTTATGTTCAGCTTAAAACGGTCTTGGAGTAGTTTGTGACCATTGGACCTTGTCATCCCTTGGGGTACATTGGTGAACAAGCATTCCCCCAGACCTTGATGCATGCCCCTTATATATTTATAGGCTGCCACCAGCTCACCCCTGAGTCTGCACTTTTCCAAGCTGAAGAGTCCCATGGCGCTCAGCCTCTCTTCATAAGACCTGTTCTCTTGCCCTCTGATCATGAAATGATTAAGTGGATTAACTGGTCATTTTGCATATGAATAGTTTACCCAAAATTATGCATAAAGAACAGTACTTGATAAATGTCTGCTTACACATAATTTAATGAGGCTATAATTTAAGTCACTGCAGCAAAACAACCTCCTCTTCTACCTGTACTTTTCCAAAATATTTCAAAAACCAAACTCAATCTGGGAAGCTCCCAACCAAGCTGGCCCACTGCTAGTTCTGAAGAAAACAACCCAATTCTCAAATCTACAAGAAATAAGAAAGGCATGGTCATGGTGTTGCCTTCAACACAATGTAGACTCTGCTATGACTCCATCTAAAGCATGTGTAAAATACTAATACAGTGTCTCTTCTCTCAACCACTTCATAGTGGTTTCTCTCCCCTGAATCTACTGCAAAGGTGAAAAATAGCATTCCAAACCTCAGTGCTTTTATAGAACCTCTAAATCTACGTGAGGTACTATTTCTTCGTTTAAGTTACCTGCACAAGGTAAAAAAAAAAAAAAGTATGAAGTTATTTTAAAACAAGACTGTATTTTTTTTTTTTTCAGTCAAGTGGTGCTAGGTGAACATTAAGAACTGGACGGTTCTATACACAGGCAAAAATAAAAATAACCTCAATTTTCAATAAGGTCCTCTGAGAGAAATACAGATATCTAGTTTTGCCTCAAGGGGATTCCACTGCAGTGGAAGTTTTTCTTGGGGAGTCACAGTCACTGATGCAGGAAACCACTACAGAAAATATTGAGAAATAGAGATACAACTATACAGGGCAATAGAGAGAACAACGGATTAATACTAGCATGTAACTCTGGGAAACAAAACTTGCCTCTGGCTTAAATCCCCAGAGCAAAAGTTGGTTAAAGTCCAGTTTTGTTGCTCTAAGGTAAGATTTTCCTTATGGTTGACTTTCCTGAATATACAAATTTCTGCTGCTTTGCTGGAGAATGTTTCAAAAGCATTTTTATTAGTACATGACATTAAAACCAAAAATACATATAGCTGCTAGGCATACACAATACCTGTCAGGATTTGGATAGAGAGTAGGGCTGTGCAAAGCTTTGATCACTGATTCGATTCAGTGAAGATTCAGCCCGATTCGGTGGCTGATTCGATTTGGATTTGGAGATTTGCTCAGAGGACCCTTTAAACTCTCTGAATCGAATTGGAACCCTCTGAATCGATTTAGATAGATTCGGACATAGACACAGCTTTAAATGTTTTTCTACATACCTCTAGATACCAGGCAGCTTGCAAATGCTGTGATGCAGGGGTGCATAGAACATCCCATAGAAGCGCGGGGGGCTTCCCAGCATACTAAGCAGCAGACCCAAAAGTGGAACAGAAGCACTTCCAGTCCATCAAAGAGCACGCTGGGGGGCCCCCTCATACCGTCCCCCCACCCAAGCTCGGCAACTGATGCCTCCTGGGTCTGGGGGGGCACCCGGCATCCCCCCCATAGCCAATCGCCAAGCCCC